AAACGTGAGATGAATCCCCTATTCTACAATTAATTTACAGTTATTTAAAAAGTTAATAGTAAAATAGTATAAATATATATTATTTACTATAAATATAGTATAGAGGTTATTTACATTTAATGTAAAAGCATTAAAATGTTCTCCCTTACTCTAAGCATGAATTTTGATATGTATAAGAAGAAACGTCTAGAATAAATGGCCAGATAATAGTAAGCAACATATGGAAATCAAGACCATTTGAAAATTGAAGTCTTTTGAAAAAACATATATACTTAAAAGCCCACCTTTCTAATCAAAATACAAAAAAAACCCCAAACCACAAGTAAGTTAAAGGTTATCAGTTTTTTTAAAAAAGTTTAAAAAAAAAAAAACCTTACTCAGCTCTCAAAGGATTGCAAATAATAATTTCAGTTTCAATCACAAGCAGTAAACTAAGCCATCATGTTGTTTAGAAGCTTTATAAAACATTATTTATCTGAGTTTAAAAAAAATAATCACTTGGAGACCTTAACAGACCACATTATTACAAACATTTATATGCACTGCTTTCATGGAAGAAAGAGTTGATTTAAGTGCTAGACTTATGAAAATTATTTTACAAGCACATCTGTTTTGATTCGTTGTGCATTCATACTGTATTATTTTAAGTGTTTCAATATTATCAGTATACCATCTTCTGATCGTGTACTGATAGAACCATCCGTTTAGCTCTATCACATGAATAATCAGTATAACTGAAAAGTCCAGTGTGTACTATGAAATAAATGCAGTCTGTTACCCCAGAGTATATCAATAGCAAACCCTACGTGTTTGGGTTGGTGCCCTACAGGATTTACCCCATCAGCTCTAGGTGACCCCAAGCTTTGTACTGCAACTTCCACCTCCATTTCTCAAGCCAACTTCATTTCCAATTCAAAATTCCAGCAGAAAACACACACCACCTTCACATTCTTATGTCTTTAGGCTTATGGCCAGTTTCCTTCACAAAAGTTTAAATTTACAGACCTCACGTGTCCTTTTTCACTCCCCTGCTACAGGCTTTGCACCTTTATGTGTAATATGTTGCCTTTTCAACACAGCAGAGGAAGGTTCTGGCCAGAGAGACATTTTGATGGGCAGAGTAGAAAGGGGGGTACTGACTGATTGGTGTCAGACAGCAGGTTTTCCCATGACATATACAACCTGTGTTTCAATTTTGTCACTAAAGGGGAAAAAAAATAATATGGCAAATCCATGCGAAACCTGTTGTCTGCATCCTTGTTACCATAGACCTACAGAAAACCACTGTATGGACAATATGGCACAGTAAGCCTTCACGCAGCTTCAGACTAGTGCATCCACAAGTGATTTGCTATGCTCCTGAAAAGCCTGCCAATAACCTAACAGCTCTTTAAAATACTTATAAGTTGTATGAGAAAAGAAAAAAGTATGGAAAACTATATTTCTGTGATGTTTCCTCAACTTGATTCCTTTTTGCATTTATATAAAGAAATAATGTACTGATTTGTATACAGCTGAACATTAATTTTCTACGTATGGTATGCTGTTTACGACAACCATCTCCTCAGACTTTATTTCCTTGTCTCAATCACTCCACTTAAAATCAACATCGAAAATTTTTGCAGAGGCAGTGGAATGATAAAGTTGTTTATATTTTTGCATTCAATTTACTATGCATTGTAACCACTTCTGGTTTAGATAGATAATGCTTCTGAGAGACAAAATGAAGATACAAATCTAAGACTCTCTGCAAAGCCTGAATTTTTTAGACTATGTACTATCTTGTGTAATAAAAGCTTATGTAGCAACTTTGATCAGAGACAGCCATAAAGATTCAATGCCAAGCACAAAACCTAAAAATTTGTAACTTTTTCAAAAGGGAAAATACAATTTAAGTGCAAGAAAAAATTAAAATCACTCACTTGTAACATGGAGTGCATCTCAGCTGTGTACAACTGAACTTCTATAATTTTAAGAAGCACCAAGATTTGGTAACTACACAGAATAATTTAAGCTTGAAGGGATATGTAGAGGTCATCTAGTCTAACTGCCTGCTCAAAGTTGGCCCAGGGCTGTGTCTGATCAAGTTCAGACCTTCTCCACAGGTGGAAACTCCACAGCTTCACCAGGCACCTTATTCCAGTGTTCAGTCACCCTTATGGTGGAAACATTTTCCTTCGTGTCAAGTCAGAATTGCCCATGCTCCCACTCGCAGCCCGTTGCCCCTCACACTATCACGGTGGACCTCTGAGAAGAAAGAACTTGCTTAGACATCAGCAAGTCCAACGCTAAAAATCAGGAAATGCTAACTGGTTGCTGCTATGGTCTGGCTCCTGCTTCTTTGTTACATCAATCATCCTACAGTTTTCACTGAAACTATCAGGTGCCATCATTTTCTGTGCAGGACACCAACATCTTTGTAAGCCCAAAAGACAAACCACAGCCTGTATGGAATAAAACTGTCTTTAGCAGGATCTTTCTGTTATCAGGGAAAAATCTGCCCCAAGCTGTTGTGGCTGACCTGTTGGCAGATCCTCAGATTTCTCAATAACGCTAGCTCATTTACCTCAAACCACTCAACACTCTGGGGCATGATTGTCTATCCTTCCACCAATTCACTGTCTGTCCACAGGCTAGTTGTTTTATCCATAATTTAATTTATCCATAATTCATAAAACAGGAGTACAGATACCATTTTGCTTCTCAAGAGCACTTGGAGCAGAAGGAGCTGATGTTTTTAAGGTCTCAGATTGCATGACTTGGAAAAGAGGATGCGAAAACGCATAATCGTTCATTTACCGTAAGCATTAGACAGCATCTCAAGAATATGGCTTGAGATTATCTACTGAACGTTAGGAGACGGTTCAGCTAAACTCAATCAGTTACTATCATGAAGCAAAATCCTCTTAAAATGCCTCATGGAATCATATGGATCACTTCATAAAGTGTTTTAACATCACAAACTCCAAGGAAGGGCTATCCAGGCCTGAGAAATGTACTTGAACAAAACTAAATGTACTTTTAGTTTGTGATTCAGTAGACATTACCCCACTATTGAAAAAAATCACAGTGGCCATTCTCATGCCTTAGAAAGGAAAAGGAAGACAGAATATTTATTAAATTAGGGTCCTTGTGTGATTTGCTAGAATTAGGGTTGGTAGTGGTTGTAATATGGTGCAAAATGAAATTAAATAATGATATGAACCTAGCAGTGTTTATACAAGTCTGATGAAAGGTAATTATGCTGCCAATAATTTTATATATCATAATAGAATTTTATGAGGTTGAAAAAACATGCTGAAATCCAACAGGAAAAGGAGTAAGAATAAGATGTAAAAAGCATTCTTAATAGATGCTCTACTAGAGTTTCCCAAACAGAAGATTTCAGTCCCATCTTGTTTCTGCCAGGTAAATAATTTCTTTGATTTTTAGGAAAAAAATAAACCAATTCTTAACTTCTACTTAAGCAAGTCTGTGACTTCCTATGTGACTTGTTAAAATTAACCTTGTGAAGGAAATCTACCTTAACGGAGCCCAATGTAATCTGAGCCTAAACACACAGGGAATATCACTAAAGCCTATTATAATGGTCAAGACACTGGCGGGGGGAAGGAAATTACATTTAGATTGGAAAACAGACAAAATTGAAAAACTGGTCTGATAGATTGTGACCAACCCCCATGGGAACATTTTAATATCTTCTAACTTCTGAGTATTTTCTAGATAAACATTTTTGTTTTCACATATCTTGTTTTTAATGAGGACTAATTAAAGATATCTTAGAGGCGAAAGAGCACTCTTGCCCTGTTGTTGAGAAGAGGGAGCACGGCTTCATTTTGTGCTAATAGAATGTAGGGAATAAATCTTCTGCTCTCCCCAAATTTATCCTGACTCTGTTCTAGATACTACATAACTCCAGGAGTGCCAACTCTACAAGTATAGAATGAATAGGCAAGCTTTTACTGAAATCGAATGCTTCAGGATTTATGTTCCAAAGCCAAGAACACATCTCAGTGCATATAACAAACAAATCTATACCCATCTTGCCAGTCATAAATGAAACAGACCAAGGCAATATTGCAGAAAATTATTAGTATTATAAAAAACAGCTACAGCTCATTTGTCTCTCCACAAAAGAGCAAGCCTACTTTGGCACTATGACACTTTATGAAATGTGAAGTATCATGCTAGTATTCATGAGTACTATTACCATTTTAGTTTCCCTTGTACAGTATGATTTAATCTTGAATACATATCTTGTATATTGGTGCTAAGCCGCTTCACTGCCTGAGATGCCTGCACGCTGATATCCCATAATAAAGTCTTGTGCAATTAAGACATATTTCAACAAGAAATGGATTCCAGCTGGAAGACAGGAGAAGGGAGAGCAATGCTTCCCCGATTAGTGATGTTCAGGCTCTGTTATTCTGAGATGCTGTTCCCTCCATGTACCATTTGCACATCTCTTGAACACCTTCACGTGCTGCCTCTGCAGCTGCGACCACAGTACCCACCACCAGCCCAGACTCTAGCCTATAAAATCCTCTTTTTTTTCCTTGATTGTCATTTTGAGCTCTGACAAGTAAATGATAATTTTTCATCAGTTTTTCCCCTGAGTGCCCATAATCACGTGGCACAGCGAGTTTGGAAGTGACTGGCTCAGCTACCCACTTTAACTTCATGTAGCAGAACATAGGATTATCAGTATTTATTTTGCATTCCTGTTTGGTTTTGGGTTTTTTTGTTGCCAAGACTAAACAAATCAAGGCCTTTGATAAAGATTCTCCAATATACATTTTGTTGATTTCTCCCTTTACCTTGCAACTGCAGATGGTTTGTTCTTTACAGACACATATCAAATACATTATTATTGGACAGCATTAAAGCTTCAGTTAGTAGAAACAAACATAGTCAAGCAGATGATGGCATATTTTTTCTTTTTTGTAACATTTTTTCCGTTTTTGTTCACTGATATTGTTAAAGGAAAACCGATTACTTACCCAACGTTTTCTGCATCTTCATCACATTCAGCCCTATATTTGCAAACTCCACATTTTGAGTGTTTTCTCTGAACTTCTGTCCCAGATCCTTCATACTCTACAAAAAAATAAGGTATTGTTAACAGAAAGCATGACTTTCTTATTAAGCTCTGATTTTGCTTACCTAAATCCATATGCCTTCAGGTATGTTGTCAACATGAAGTTATCATATACGGAAGCTATTAATCTTAATAGTGTTCCCTTTTTCAAAATCAGGTAATTGGAGGTTGGTAGAACTGTACCAGTGACAAGAAAGCATCCCTGAAAACACTAATGCTTCATTGATTGACTCTTCTTTTATTCTTATTTTGGTCATTTGTATTTATTCTCACCCCACCAGACACACAGCCAACACGTACATGTGTCCCAGTCACATTTAATTTTGATTGGCACTGATAATGTGTAAACCCCATGCCTTTTAATGTCCTTAATATTAGGTAGGGGGGATTTGAATGCTATTTTCTTTGATAGTCTTTAATTACAGATATCCTTATGCAAGGTTACTGTCTGTATTTTTTCCCCTTTATCTTTCCAATGACGGGATTAGATTGTGCTCGTATCTCATATATGCTGCTGTGATATATTTTCCAGACTACTCTTATTAGTTGTACAAGACTAAAAGAAAAAAGTCATCCTAACAAGAAACTGGTAGAAATGCTACTTCCCTAAAAAAAGAAAAATTAGTATTGCAAATGTTCTGAACCTAAAAACACCCCCACCAATCTTACTGTTGACATGGACATCAAAACTCTTCAAAAGAGAAATATAACTATACTCATTATTTCACTACCATTAGTCACTCCTATTTTTTATTTTAACAAAGCCATAATGGAGAGAGATATTTGAAAAGCAGGAAAACAACCACAGAAATCTGCAGAGGGAGTCAAGAACCACTTAATGTATCACAGTATCATGGTGATGTATGGCTGACTACACAAGGCTGTCAGATGGACATGGATCAGTGATTCTTTTTCTCATGCCAGCTTAATGTGCTGTAAAAACAACTAATCAAACACCACCAATTAAAAAGCTGCATTTATATTCTTTAAATGTAAATAAGAAAAAAAAAAATCCACAAGAGTCCTTCCTAGTTTTCCTGGATCTTGGCTGAAGGGAATCTCTCCCTCCTACCTCTGGAGCTGGGCTTACATGGAGAATAGTGCAGGTGAGCCTCTCAAATTAACTTCTGCCTAAAACATGCTGTGCATTTTTCAAAGATTAAAACATATCAAACTTTATTACAAAATTCCCACTGTAGAAATTCTGTCACCACTCATTAAGTTGCAGTAGAGATCATTTGCTTTTATCTTTACAAATGTACACCTTATTTGATTTTTCCTTCTTTCTAGATACCACATTCCTGTGTCTGTATTTGGCATCCTAAAGTGTCCTTTAGTGTCAGATTTCACTTTTCCATGCCCCCCTACAGTTTGAATAAGTTAAACAAACGGCACTTTCATTCATCGTGTTTCCACTTCTTTTGCTGTTTTTATGACCCTCGATGCCTTTCCCCAGCATGTTAACACCATCTGGAGCTAAAGATACAAGAGCTGGACACACTGCTCCAGAAGTTGTCATCAAAGCCAAGTACCATCTATGATATTCTTCAGTTAAAACATCCAACAAGCATATTAATTTTTGACTATTTTTCTGTACTGACCATTATTATCCACGTTCACTTTATTATCCACCTTATTCCCCAATGAGTCCTTTTCAGGGCCATCAGTCTGTAGGAGAGGTTGACATCCATTAAAAATCGCCTAGATCCTGGGCTCGGTACATATAACTCTGCCCTCAGGCATTGAAATCCCACCTATTTGTGCATTCTGTTAGCACAGTGACCTGTCCTCTGTCTTCCAGGCCTGATCAGTACTGATTGATTTCCTCCCAGGTCACCACTGGAAGGGCTCACGAGGCCAAGAACAGTCCCTGGAAACACACTCGTTTTGTAACGATTCCTTAACATTTAACGATCCATTGATTGGCAATATTCTTGGCCACTAGATGTGCACTGTGTGGATGCTGCACCCTCTAATTACTTAGACTTGTATGAGAGAGTGCCTTTGTCTGAGAAAGGTTATGGTCTTGAGGTGGTACGCTTACATAAAATATTTTCTTGTACAAATGCCTTTCTTGGAAAGACAAGTTTAAAGAAAAAAAAAAAAAAAAAGGTAAATTTCTCAAGAAAGTTTTTCCATGAACCCATGATGACTGGCATTAAATATTTTCCCCTCCCTTAATTCTGTACTCAGCTGATTCTTCCACCTCCTATTCCACTGCTTTGTTTCTGATGGATGCCGGAATGAGAGGCTGTAGCCCACCCAATTATCATATGTAGCTTTTCTCAAAATATTTGTACATTATTTCTCATTGTTCTACTGTAAAAAAAAAAAGACACAAAAAAAGTTGTCAGCCCACAGAATTCTTTACCATCCATTTTTAAAGCTTCCAGGTGCAAACCAGCCAGACCTGATGGTTACAAAACACCTGTCTTCAACACTTGGTGCTCAATATCCTTCTGCAGTACTGCTAGCATGGAAAATATTTCATCATATCCTATATATACTCTCTGACTCGACTACAAACACAACCAGAATGCTTTACAGAGCACTATTGCTATACTATTAGCATTTCAATTTTGTAATGGAGCTAAAGAAGCAACACACACACACACACACCCCCTTCCTCGCCAGCTTTAGTTCTGTTCCTCGTGGATGCCCTGGCATCTTTTCATTTTCGTAGTCAACAACTACTTGTTCATTGCTTTTATATGCTATTCAGTGTAAACTTCTCTCTCTCTTTCCCCATGCCCCCCCAAAATGCTTTCTCTAAGTTTTAAAATTACATTTGTTTTAGAAAAAGTGTAGACTTTTTTCCTTGATAGAACTTGCTGGACCTCATATATATAGAATTATTTATCCATACTTTATTTTGTTTGCATGTAATAAATATGTGCAAGTGAAGAACACCTGCACCTCAGGTACTAATAATTTACACCTGTCAGGATGAGGTGTAATACAGATGAATGTGTATTGATGCAACATTTCCAAGTTAGGTGATAGGCATCTATAATTCTTAGATGCTTCTTTCATTATTAGCTGCATGATGTTTTATACTGGCAGCATGAGACACTGCATATAATTTAGACGCAAGTCCTTGAAGAAAATGCAGCTTTTCCTAGTGACACAGAATAGATAAATACTGGTTTTCAGCCTGAATTGGTAGCAGACATTTTCAGTACCCCACTTACATGCTGTTAAAATAAGTTAACCCATTAATATTCGAGAACATAAGTTTCTCTGCTGCAAATGTCTCCAAATAGGCAATGCATCCCTTGACAGATTGTCCCTCCCTTCTCTTTTCTCCCCCATGTTTGATTGTTGCTATATAGCTTATAGCCATTAATTTTAATATTCCAATCAATCAGATCTTCCCAGCAGGTTTCAGTAATATCAATTAGGACAAAATATGCTCCTAAATGAGCAATTCAACTCCTCTTGTTTATTATGCAGGCTTCTAATGTTGATGTATAGATGATTACAGAATTTCTTCTCCTCACTTTCGTTGGTATCTTGATTAATTCTGTTCTTTGACATCTTAATTTCACTTTGAGTGAAAGCTCATTTTCCCTCTCTTTTCAGCTCCCTTTCGTGTTTCAGGGCAGCACCTCATTAGTGCTCTGTCCTTCAAAAGAAATGAGGTGCGAGGATGGGACTGTGACTCCCAGTTGTCTCTGTGAGCCGCAGCGCTCCCTAACACTTCTCCTCGAGTCATTATTCCTCTGCAGAAGATGGCCAGCTCTATCTTAGGAGCTGCAGGGCAGGAGCCTGCAAATGGACAAGTAGCTCTAGAGGAATTGGCCAGCAGTAAATTGCTTCCCTCGGCAACTCATTTGTGTGTTCCTACAGCGGTAGTATGGCTGGGTTTCTGCTGAGGGCTTTCAATCAGGCTTGAAGGAAAAGCATCAGTCTATGTCAAGGTGAAGTCTGCTCTGCCTCAAGGCATGGCCTGGAAAGGGAGCTCCGCTGTATGTGTGTGTATATATATATACACACACACACATATATACATATGTATATACATGTATATACATATATACAGTTCCGCTGCATGCGTGTATATATATAATATATATATATATTTATCACTGTTCACAGTGAACTGGGGGAGCTTGTGGAGGGCTGCAACTACTCAGTAGCCATGTATGAGTGGAATAAAGATTCCCCTGCTTGGGAAAGACCCTCTGAAAACTAATTCCTATCTGTTTTGGGAGTACAGTGATTTTTACTGATGGGAGCAACTAATCTCAAAAAGATGTTGGGAAAATAGGAAGAGCCACAGCAAATTCACTTTTGCACCCAAAAGTACAGAAAAACCCACCTCATGATCAGACTGTGATTCCCTCAGTACAGCTAGTACTGGAAATTCCTCTCAAAATACCACAGTCCACAGCATCACACATTATGGGCTGCAGTTCACTGAACAGTTTAGTGACTTATCCTCTCTTCCATTAATTTTTAGGGCAACTTTAATGACAGAGTTAAAATGGAAATTGTCCCTGTAATTTAAAACAAAGCTGCAAACTTACTCTTTTGCCTGCAAGTATATATTTAAAACAAGAGCAACAACTACTCTTAGCAATCCCAAATTCTTGGCAAGCAGTGTCTTGAATTATTTGACCACGCTCCTGGATCTAACACAAAAGCATTGTTTACCAACGTGGAAGGTACCCAGCTGGCTTAGAAGCAAAGCCTGGCTCGGTATAGCCAGAGATCTATACCTGGCTGAAAGATACTTTCCCTGTGCAGTATAGACCGCACGCTGCAGCTGTAAATGTGCTCCAGTAAAGACACCAGCCTTTGAAGTTTGATTTTGCAATAAAGGGCATTACAGGTTTAACACAAGGCTGCCTGGTCTACTTATGACTGAGGTGCCTGGAGGTGCCTGCCTAATCACAACCCAGCCTAGGTGACATGTTTGCCCAGTAGTTACAATGACAATACTGTGTGCATTTTTAAGCAAAGGAGTTGAGGACGTGCACTGTAAGACTCTCTACCA